AGCCGCACTATAAGGACTAAAGAGCCGCAGGTTGCCGACCTCTGATCTAGTGCTACACGATTAATTTCCTACAAACGTATTGTGAAAGTTTCTGGACACAGAAAAGCTTAAGGGCTTTTATTTTGAAACTCACAAAGGAAATTCTGAGTTTCTATTGACAAGGTAATGCTGTAATTTGTGAAATGGGAACCACACTCTTTACACAGATGTTTTAAGAAAAACAGGTCCGTCTGTAATATAAGAGTGCTTCAGATAAAGCCCCGCTACCTTCTTTAGTTGAGAAAAATAAAAGCTCTTTTTTCAAGTACAATAAACACAATTACCAGCAGTGTCTGCTGGAGCCTGTAACAATCTCAGCTTTTTTTCTTATTCACCAAAGTAATACAATACTATACTGGGCCCCACCTCTTGATTTTCTTCTGAAATATTTTCCCTCCTAGATAATCCACAATCAACAGTCTGTTGTATTGTTGAAAAGTGGAAGCATTTAGAAACCACAGCAGCTCAGCCATGAAGTGTTAGACCACGTAAAGTTTCAGAGCGGAGGTTGCCGAATGCTAAGGTGTATAGTGAGTAAAAACTGGAGAGCTCAAAACCTCCTCTGGGATTAACATCAGCACAAAAACTGTGCCAACCGGTGTCTGGAGCTTCATAGGATGGGTTTCCAGGGGTGTGCAGCTCCTGTAGGTTTAATGTAGCACAGTGCTTACAACTTATACTTACAAGCATTTTAAGCTTGAATATAATTACTGTTGTGTTTTGTTTTTTTGTTCAATATTTTTCTCTTGTGCATCTTTTTCCATCTCCTGGCAGGGCTCTAGAGTGCGACTAATTTGGTCACAAATGCAACCACATTTTTCAATGGTGCAACTAAAAAAAAATAAATCTTTGGTCGCACCAGTACGACTCTCCGTGTGGTCATCAACAGACACACATTATGCCCCTATTGGACTAAACCAATCCAGAATCAGAATGGTAATGGTAAATGGCCTGCATTTGTTTAGCGCTTTTCTAGTCCCTAAGGACCCCAAAGCGCTTCACACTACATTCAGTCATTCACCCATTCACACACACATTCACACACTGGCGATGGCAAGCTACATTGCCAAGAAATAGTCAGGGGCGGGACCTCTCTGATTGGC